AAAAACAGTTTTAATAATTTCTACAACTGAAACTTTTCAGTATTCTCGCTGTTTGCATTTAAGGAAGTGAAGAGTTCAGCGAAAAATCACAAATTATGTTAAAATTTCATATTTTATGAAGCTGCTGAATTTCGCAAGTTGCTAAAGGGTCATATGCTGCGCACAGCTCGGCGAGGTAGTCGGTACTTTTAATGATTTTTCACTGTTGGTACTGCGAAGCGTTGGTTTTGTTTTTGTTGTGCGCGCGTACATCAACAACAAAAATACGATCATTAAGTAAATAATTAGAAGCAATAATTCAGCGTTTAAGCGCCATAATTCAAAGCATAAAATGAAAATGATGAAAATGCTAAAAAAAAACATAAATGAGAAATGCTGTAAAGAATGTGAAGTGATGGTATAAGGAATTAAAATGGAAATGAGTGGAAAGAAGCAGACGGCAAGGGAAGAGGGAAGTAGCAGCATAGCAACGGAATTAAAATATCTATTTATTATAAGTAAAGCACAATATTTTACTGTCGATATGCAACAAATAACCAGTTGCCGGGCAATTTTCCATTTTTCCTCAAAAAGTGGCATGAATGGCAGCAGCAACATGCCGCTTAAAGCAAAGAAATCTTTAATTGAAGTGGCCAGAGTGGATGATACTCGTAGCTTGCGCCTTTTTATGTTTCAGAAAAATCTGTTAGCCCTCAGCGTGCCACTAAATCATTATCAGCACAGTTGAGAAGGAGAACATCGCATTACAAATATGCATAAGGGTCATTCCATACAAAATATACACATCAATATTTTTTTGGTGTGAAATATTTTTTTTTTGCATTCTTTATCGAAAAAAATACACCTATTTGATTATCATCATAATATTCGAAAATCTCGAAAAAAATTTCCGAAATTTTGAACTCACAAAGAAGTATATTTTTTAAATTTTTGCTGGTAATAAACTATATATTTGTCTGAAATTATGTTAAGTGGTCAAAATGTTCGTAATTACCTCGGCTTTGATTAGAATGTGAGATAGATTGCATTTTTTTGTAATCGTTTAGTTTATTAAGTATACACCGTTTGATTTATGTTTCTTTTTTTTGCAATCTAAATAGTTGTCAAACTTTATGGAGTACATTGTAAAAATTTGAGAATGGAAAACGTAAACTTTTACAGTGTACTCCATAAAGTTTGACAGCTATTTATTTATCTACGGATTTTCTCCGACAAATAGTTTATTTTTTAACTGCCAAAAATTAAAAAAAAAAAATATATATACATATATATATCTCTGTGAGTTCAAATTTCTGAAATTTGTTTCCAAGACTTCCGCATATCACGATGAAATAAAAAATGAGGTTTCTTCTATAAAGAATGTAAAAAAAATATTGACGTGTAAATTTTGTATGCAATGACCCATAAATATATCTGTGTGTATATAAAAGCAAAAATATTAAATAAACAAGTTTAGTGAAAGGCCGCGCCAGTGTGTTGATATTCAAACCCAAAACTCATTTACAAAACGCAATTACTTAATTATATGCTTTAACAGAAATACATAAATACACAGCATCCATAGGTATGTACATACATATTGAGCCCTAACCGCCAAAATAACCTAAGCGACATTTTTTTCAAAATTTTCTTTTTGATGCAGAAATATTTCCAGAGCATCTAGATACATTTCTGCATCAAAAAGAAAATTTTGAAAAAAAATGTCGCTTACGTTATTTTGGCGGTTAGGGCTCGGTATGTATATGTGTACATAAGCAAAGAAGTATAATTATTATGATCACTCAGTAAATCCATTTATTTGGTTGTTTTGCTTGCCGTAGATTGACGCCCGCCCATCTGTCCAAGCGACCAACCAACTGTTTGCTCCTTTGCTGTCTTTTAAACGAATGTCTGCTGAATTGCGCCCAGCTGTACTCCATATTTAGATATTTATGTACATTATGCATGACAGATTGCTGGTAATGAATTATATTTAATTATGAAAATCAATTTCGTTTTCTCAAGAAAACGCCATTGACGATGAGGCGGTGCGTTTGGGAGTTTCTATGAGATTTATGTGGGAAATGGGTGAGTGAGTGAGAATCTATTATGTATGTACATACTTCTGTGCATTACTTATAAATATGTAAGTAGCATATGTATGTTTGTATATCTGTGGCATTATCTTTAGTACATATCTACATAAATAGGTACTAGGGCGGGTCAATTTTTTCGAATATAGGCGTATAGCATATTTAGGTGGATTCTACGTGTAAGTCTAAGCAAATTTTCCGAAGTAACCATGGAGTTTGGCAAATTTTCAAAAATAGGTTTCGTTTTCTTAGAACTTTGCTGTAGTGCCGTGAAGAAGTACTTAAATTTTGTATAAAAGTATGCTATAAAAGGTTTTTGGTATTTTGATGCTGTTTTTTTGTAAAGTAAAATAGTGAATTGGCAGGTCCCTGAACCTCGCCCTCTTGTGATTCACACACTTTTCTGGTGACAAAATCAAAGCTTTTTTAAAAGTATTTAATTGACTCTAGGTAATCGTTTCAAAAGTTCTTCGATTAGGATGATTAAACATTTTTGACAGTATTTTAATATGCGTCTTAAGTCAAGTTTATCACGCAGTTCATTAGCCTCTTCTGTAAAATTATCGTGGAAAACTAAGTTTTGCATATTTTTATAATAGGAAAAATTTATTTGAAGGGACAAAATCGCTAAAAATCGCCAATGGCGATTTCCTAAATTTTTACGCGCAAATATCCAAAAAAAAATCGCCAAATCTGGACACTCTGTTCACAATGGACAATTATGTCTCCGAGTGAAATTTTGGAATGTTCCATACACGCCCTCCTAACATAATCCAACCTAACCATTCGTCGGGGTAATACAAAAAAACTAATCCCTTTGGGCTAAGTGAGGAAACCTAACCTAATATTAACCTAACCTAAACTAGGTCTTATAGTTTCTGCTGAATTAGTACGTTGCAATTGCAGTAGTGTAGTTCAGCTGCAAAATTAAATACGTATTTTATGGAGTGTATGAACAAATATTTTTAATTGATCCATAGTTACGTTGACCATATTTTTTAAATAAAAATACAGTACACAGTATGGAAAATATATTGTCCCACAGCCATATGCATTTAGCGCTTCAGCTGACGTATGGCCCATTCGGTTCTTCGGGCTCACACTATGGTGGCGGGCGCTGTACAAAACTGCGTCCAAAAGCCAAGAGAAAAGGGTGCTAAAGACGCAAAGCTCCAGAAGCTCTATCGGTTCTTCTTGCGACAAACTGCAGTCTAGCTGAAATGATACTAGGCAAAAAATTTTACCTCCCCGAGGAAGTTAAATTCGGAAGCTATTCAAGGAATTCAAGATAATATATCTAGAAAACAGCGGGAGCAAATTAGTTAGGAACAAATTGGAAAGGTGTTAAAAGCTAGACTCTAGTTCCATTTCAAACTTCAGCGATGGCTCCAAGCTAAATACTATAAAGCTCGGAAGCAAAATCCACTCGCAATAACTGCTTCTAAGCTTGAGCCTCTCTCAGCAGAAATAGGTACGTCCGGTACCGGAGTGTTGCAGCGTTTTCCAAGCTAAATTACACGGTATAAAGAATGCTACTTACTCTCTGCCCAAGGAACTCTCCTGTAACTAAGATTACTCGACCGCACTCTACTCTGACAACCACATTGCCGTTTTATCTCTAAACGATTTGGATACGCGAAACTAATCTTTAGTCGATCAAATTGCCCAAAATGCTAGCAAGCGAACTATCTTCAAACTGATTAGGGCTCAGATCTCTTTCCATTGAACAAGACAACCATAATTGAGCTAGTTGTGTCGCCAAGAATTTATGGAAACAGCTCTGAGTCTCTATTTCTCCTTGATCGGCTCTCAATTAGCTCAGATGTTGGTTTTGTGAACGGATACTTTGCAATGGCAATACATACATACAGAGCGCGTAAAGGCTTACCTTCTTATGATTTCTATCACGGTTGCAGGAACTAGGAGGAAGTAAAGAGCATCAATAACTTTCTCTAATACTGCCCTGCCTTATCTTAAATATGAAAACGTAATCTAAAAAATTTCTTTTACGATTGCCTAGCGGACTCATGCCGATTTCGTTTCTACCGAAAAATGCAACCTTCTCTTTGTCCCCTACGCACACTAAAACACTAAAAAGAGCGCGATAAGAAGGCAACATTTTTTTGTAGAAACGAAAACACCATAAGGTTCCTTGAGTATTCACAGCACATCGGGAACGTAGATGCGTAATTAGTATGAGGTCACGCTGGCGATATTATAATGGGACTTCTGGCTGAAGTGTGACTCACTACATTCCCCATAGAGAGTCGAAGTAGTAAGTGTAGAAAAAAATAAGCTTTGAGTTATCTTAATTTTGTAAACTTAAAGGACAGCAGCTCGAGGTCCTGTACTGTACTGAGTACTGTCCTTTGAAATAAAGTACGGATGGTCACCGTATCCGAAAAGTATACGGCGTTAGCCCCACAGAAAATTAAAAAAAAACTTGGTAACAAGGCTTCATTTACTTACATATATCTACCTTATTTTCCATTACAGATCATTACACATCATCTACTTTCAATTACCAAGTAATTGGCTGTGTAATTAAATAAACACAAAAGCGCCAACATTTCGTGAATTACCAGCTAGAAGCTAAAATACCAATAATAAATACTCCTACATACAAACAAAAGCATTAAACGCAATTTGAATACAATTTGTAGGCAATTGAAATGTTGCATAAAATGTTGCCGTTATTATTTTCAGCACATACACCTGACAGTTGTAAAAAACGCCACTAAACAGCGCGAGTGGCAATAAAATTGCGCACAAAAGAGGTGTTGAATACAGGCGGCAATTAAATGCAATGCAAAAATTGCAAAAGTCAAAAATGTAATGCCGCAACCGGGGGAAAGGTAGGCAGTGCAGGTAATGCATGCATACTACTTATATTTGTTGTTTTTGTATTTGTAATTTTTTCACACTTACCAATATCAAGAGCATAACAGAAAGCGCCGCCGCCGCCACCGCCGCCTCCACCACCAACGCCGCTGCCACCGCGGCCGCCACGGCCTCGTCGTCCATGCCAACTGCTGCAGCTCAATAAAATCAAAGTCAATGTCAGCCAACATAAAGTTTTATTTTTATTAACACCATGCCGCTTAATGCGGCAATAACTTTTCAAATAATTTGTTGCGCAATACGAACAACGGCTTAGCAAAGCGAATGCGCTGCGACAGCTGGCTTCAGGGGACTGCCGCCACCACCACCACCGCCATCGCTGCTGTCGCTGCTGTTGCTTCTGTTGCTGGTGCGTCTGTTGTTGCAATTTGAATGAATTCAATTGTCGATTTTTTATTGTAGCCATTTTATGATATTTTCCGTTTTCGTTTGACTTTCTGCATTCACCACTGCTCGCTGCTGAATTTTAGATTCCTTTTCGGCACTTTGTAGTTAGTGGCTCAACAGAAGGTTGCCACCCCGTTCATTTTGGTGGCAAAGTGTGGCATGAAAGCGTGCAAAAGGTTGATTGTGTTTAGCTGTTGCTGGCCTCCGTGGTCAATGTCAATGGTACTGTTACTGCTGCCGCTATTAATTTTGCTATTCTGGCATTGCACGTAATTTCCAGCCAGTTGAACGGTTGCAGTAACAGTTAAAATAACGGCACGCTAGTGGCATAACTATGTAACTGGCGACTATGTTTGTTTGTAAAAATCGTTGGGCGATTTGCAATGTAAACTTTGCGAAAATGGCGAATTAATTTAATTAGATTTCGATTGGTAAAACCAGAGTGGCATGGTGGTATGTAAACTGTTTATTTTAATCGAAAGCGTTTTGTTTTATTGTTACGTGCTATTTGTTGTGTTGCAATGACACAGCTGAAAAGAGAATAAAGAGGAAACAAGTATATTGAAATTGGTTGTGTAAGGTCAATCGAATTGAACTAAAACTTTTAAACTAATGGCAGCCCTCTTCAAAAATATATTATACAAAAAGTTATTTAATCCTCTCTCATTCCATACGCATAAGGAACTATTTTATTTAATTGAATTTTAATTACAAAATAGTTGGCAACCCTGTGCAAAAATATTTTCAATTATTATTTTAAGGGTTAATTTTAGATGAATATTTTAACGGCACTTAAATTGAATTTCGGATTGTTATTTAAATGCCATATAGCTTTCGTTGGGTTTCAGATCAACTTTATTAAAATATGCCAAACAAGTGGCAACACTGTTGCTTTTTCCTTGAAATTGTTGTTGTATTTGTTTTTTGTTTACATTTTGTGCTGAACAGGTAATTGTTGTTTGGCTAGATTGATAAAACAACCTTATTGATGGTTTGGTACAAACACAGGGTTGCACACTTACTAATATTATAAATCCAAAAGTGAGTTTGTTTATTTGTTACGTTTTCACGCATTAACTACTCAACCGATCATCGTTAAATTTTGTACACAGGGGCCATTTAGCCTAACTTAAAATATACGATAGATTTAATCTCGATTAGATTAGGGGGCGTGGCACCTCCTATACAAACGGAAATTTTCGTAGCATGTCTCAGCAAATTTTTTTGATAGAGTACGGGAACTTGATATAGATAGAAGTGTTGCCACCCGTTTAAAAATTAAATTCAATTAATTTATATAAATTACTACAAAATGGGTATCAATCGGAATATTTCTGATAAGGGTTTTAGTTCTAAACTACATGTAGGAGGGTTTCTGCGTATTTGAACTTCTTGAATTAAAGGAATTTGGTAATTGGGTTTTAGTAGGAAAATATTTGGAAGAGGATTGCCACCTGTTTTAAAAGTCCAGTTTAAATTATAAATATTCAGCTTGAACATGTAGCATTTTCTTAGGTATTTGAAGAGGGATGCCACCTGTTTTAAATCTAACTCAACCACCTTAACATATTATAAGATAAATGTTTTATTACAATCTAGGTTATAATCGAAAGAGTCTTAAAAGACTTTATTTCTAAGCAATATATGCATGTATGTAAAGCAGGATTTCTAAATGTTTGAAAATTCAAATTCAACTTGAATTATAGGAATTAACGGTTTAAGAAGTAAAACTTCTAAACTAAAACTACATAAGTATGAAAAAGTATCACAAGAAAGAGGTTTAAGATAGTTTCAGTTTGAAGATATTTTGAAGATAGTTAAAAAATTTAAAATTTTCTGCTTTTCGTATATTTTAAGCATGTCGAGTTTAATTGAAATAAATAACAACTAATGTAGCACGTAGGAATTTCATACACTCAGCGAAGCGGGTAATTCATATTTAAATAGTTATTATGAAAAAACCAGGGACCGAACATAACAGTTATTGATGAAAACTGTCATGAAAACATTCACTATGAACAAAATGTTTTACAACTAAGTGAAACATACCAATCGATTTCGTTTTGCACTGAGACTCAAATTTGAAAATAAATTTTTATTTGCAATTTTTATGCAAAATTTAAAAAAATAACAATTATATTTGATTTTTATATTATAAATCGTAAATAACAATTATTTTTGATTTTTATATTATATGGCTTAGATAACAGTTATTGAAGAGTTTTATTTAAAAAAGTCATCAATAAAAATCAGTCAGTGACTTTTACTTTTAAAAGTCATTAATATAAATCAGTGACCGGCTTTTATTTTTTAAATCAATCGTATAAAAGTCATTAACATTTTTCCCAGTTAAGAAGGTGTTGTTGGAAAACAAAAGTTTACTACGACTTATTCAAATGATTTATAAGTATGATTGATAAAATAAAGATCAGTGACTGATTTTTATTTATGACTTTTATAAATAAAAGTCTTCGATAACTGTTATTTAAGACAAATAATTTAAAAATCAAAAATGACTGTTATTTGCAGATTATTTAAATAAAAATTAAAAATAATTGTTATTTTCGATTTATAAAATAAAAGTCAGAAATAACGGTTATTTAAAGAGTAATTAAATAAAAGTCAAAAAATAATTGCTTAAGAGTGATTTTTTAATAAAAGTTGTAACTGTTACGGTCCCTGGAAAAAACTTTTATAATATAAGTCTTAAAAATAAAAGTCTTTGAAGACTTAAAAATATTTATCTCAATGATAATTATTTATGAAAAAACTTTTATAATAAAAGTCTTCGAATAATAATTATAGATGACTTGAAAAATATTTATCTTATTAAAATGATTATTGATTGACTTTTATTCTTTTCTCTTATAACCCTAAGTATAATACCGACTTAAGCTATCATACTCTATGATTACATTATTAATGCCGGCTCGCAAATAACCTCGATTTCAGTCGGTTAACATCTGCGGATAGCTCCCATACTGCGCAAACCAGTTAAAAAACCCATGTTGACCTCGAGATGACCCTGAAATTAACCCTCACGTTATTCTGCCGCACGGCATTGGAAAGCTTGTATTTTTTCATTAAGTTTACATATTTAAAGAACAAATTTGAAGTTAAAAGAAAAATGGGTACGATGGGGGTAACGTTCAGAAAGAATACCCCATACAAATAAAGTTTATATCTGCGGTGAGTTTGATTTTTAGCTCTCGCGCAACCTCGGACCTTATCTATAGTAGCGGAAATCAGTCCCGCCAGCCATCTTTTTTGATGAAAGGAATAATGACCACTTAAGTAGGGTTAATATTATGTCCCAGACTAGATCGCTATTTTTTTTTTTATTAAGCCTCGAGGAGACGCCATGATATCTGATGTTTCAGTTAAGCAAAAACTATTCCGAAAACATTTAACCGCAATTGGAATCATTATCTATCCTTAGAAGTGATTTCAATTATTTCGACTTTATATTTTCATTTTGGTTGTTGGTGTTTCGGACAGTGTAGGAGTACTGTGTACGGTACTGTGTAACACTTTTCCGTAATTCTTGTAAAATTTGTTTTGGAGACAAACCGGCTTCGGCGTTGTAACAGCTCATCCATGTACGACTTAGCGGATGCTGTTTGTTCTATAATGTGCATCCTCCGGAAGGTAGAAATCAACCGTTTACATCTTCTTGATTATTGTGCCGTGGATCCACTGGTAGTTACAAATTAGATATTTTCCTTGCATTTTTTTTTTACCGACTTTATCTCATTGGTGGGAAGGTTGGAAATATAGCGCTCCCATTAATCAGATCTTTCTAGTATCACTAAGCACTAAATAAGTGCTCTTATGCAATCCACTTATTTGATTAGAAGAAGTAAGTAGCCATATCACCAAACATATAAATACATACACTCGTGTACTTCTGGTCGTTACAAAACTTTGCCTTCTAAATATACAAGGGAAGTTAAGTGCGTATGAAAAACATGTCTTATCCTTTAGTGTTAGGCATCGTAGGGACTAATTAATGGCTGAAAATCGCGCCATTTTCAGAAAAAAAAATGTTGTAGCAAGCGAAGGGTCATGACTTTTATGAAAAATATTTATGTACTAACTCCCACTATACTTCCGAAATGTTGAAATATATGTAAGTAACAACAATTTCCTTGCCATTCAAATTCCTACTCTGCAGTAAAGTTTTTAATTTAAATTTCCCATCACTCGCACGCCTTCAAACGAACACTACAGCCCACAGATTTTTCATTTCAATTTAAACAAAAACTTTTGCCGGCACAAACTACTAAAGAAACCAAAAGAACCCGCAAAAAAAAAAATGCACATGTAAATGAAACCAAGGTGACCCCTACCAACACTGTGAGCTGGCTAAATTCCATATGGCCTATGTTAAGATATTTCACATTGTGCCATTGTGGCGATGGCGTCCGGAGCTTGTAACACACACCGTCCGACAACGAGCGGCAGCCGGCAAATAACAGCCATTCATTTCGCCATTCATTCAGTCATTCATTCAGTCATTCATACGCTTTCCTAATTTATAAAAGTGCGCCTACGCTGGCCAGCCAACCAGCCATCCAGGCAGCGTTGTGGCAAACTTTAGTTAGTCTATGGCATGTAATCGCTAGTGGCGGCCAAATTGCAGTCTCAAATGGAAAAATGCTTTCAAAAACTAAACAGTAAGCAAAAGAAAAACATTGAGAAATCTATAAGTATTATGTTTGTACGTGGAAAGCAGTGTGCAGCGTTGAAGCTGAAAAATTCTTCAAAAAGCCTACAACAGAAAATTTGCAAAAAAGAAATTTAGTGAATTGGAGAAGAAAAATGTTGCATATTGTCTAGCATTTGTTGAGTGCATTCGAAATATGGCACTTCAAAAGGCAATTTGGTACTGTGATGTCAATGCCACTGCCACTATCAATACTACGGTATGAAAAAATGTGAATGGAAGCATATATTTAGGACAGTGTGGTTGAGAAGATGAAATTTTGGATTCGATATACTCTCCCCAACCCCTTGGAATCTAACAGTAAACACTCTACTATATGCGCTTAAAGGACATAGGTTGCAACGCAACCCTAACAGCAACTGGTAAGTACCAACAAGTGCTGTGCCAACTGTTGCTGTGTTTAGATCGAATGAACTAAATAATCGGCAGTATTCTGAGTCAAAACCTGTATTTATAATCTAAGTTCGTCGTGTGAGTAACTAGAGTTTTGAGTGCACATTTGTTGCTAGTGCTTTCTCCTATGAAGTCAGTCCTATCTCTGAGACAGAATGCGAATTACTTACTCAACCAGTTATTTTTGGCCTTCACAAACTGGGTTTCAGTGCAACAATCACTTCTTGAGCCGAAGATGGGTGATAGGCAAAAACTACAGCAGATAATACCAGCTGGATGAGAATCGTATTCCTTCGATTTAGAAGTCATATGAAAACTTGCATTAGGCAGTAGTAGAGTTTGGGAAGCCATTTCGATGTTGTAGCCATCGCAGCCGTACACTAAGTTGAATTTCGAGCCGATTTGGTAATG